CCACGAAGCTGCCCTTGAAACAGCAAAGGACTGGCCCGCGGTACCTCTGCCAGTGAAAACGGAGCTCCAGAAGGCCACAGGCGGTCTTCCTGAGCTCTGTTTTTGCTGGCAGAGGGTTGCAGAAGGCCATCACAGCCAAAACTGGAGTTTGGGAGCCTGTTTTCACTGGGAGAGTGTTGGGCCGCCACAGGCACCCCAACACAAGTGATGTTGAGCTGGTCATGCCCAGTCTGGCCCCCGAAGTCAAATACAGCCCTGATGCGGCCCTCAATGAAATCCAGTTTGACACCCCTGTATTAGACTAATGTACCAATGTACAACAACTGTTTGGAGTTTCAGACAGAAATCTTTCTTCTTCCTATCTTCATGTGCTTGTGATTATACCTGGGATCTTTCTACATACTGCAGAGTTTTATGGCTTTCTGCTCTTCCTTAACTCTGTATCTTTTTTTTTATTTAAAGTATTAGAAGTCCACAAACACCCATGTTTTTATAGAAGCTCAAGATGCAACTTTATCTTGAATTCTGTTCCCTCAGAATAGTCGTGTATACTAAAAGGCAATCGTTTATATTAATTTTTAAAAATATGCTTCAGAAGGATTCCTATATGCTATTAAATTGTATATTTTTTGTGGGATAAAAGTATGGTTTGGGATGTAGATTTTACTTTATTTAGGCAAATGCAATTAAATATTTTTCACTGTTAGTACATACTTGCTGCTCCTTACTTTTCTGAGATCAAAATAGAGTAATAATTATATATAGCGCATGATAAAAGCCACTTGTCCATGAAGAAATAGTTTTGCAAACCTTTGAAACTGTTGAGTTGTTAACAAAATAAATTAAAACATCCATTTGGAAGGAATATTAAAAAGCATCCCTTTCTGAAAGTTAGAGGTGACTAAATAGGACCATGAAACCATAATTACTTGCTCCTTATCCTGTTTTATGTTGGAGCTGTAATGTCAATCTCAGATTGAAAACAGTATTAACTTATTCAAGAAAAGTGTGGGCACCACAGTCATATAACCGTCCTAAATTATTCTATCTCAAATAGACATTAAGACTGTATATAAGAAAAAGAAATGGTCCTATACTTGTGACAGGTAGCTTATTAAATATTTATAGCATTTAGATAACATATTAGATAAATATGCAGTAGAAGCCAAAGGTGAGAAAATGCAACCAGCTTCCTAGTCCTGAATATTGAATCTTTTGCACTACCTCCCCCCCAAAACAAAGCATCACAACAGCACAAGAGCTTATGGTTGTATCAATTTTGCATCTTTTGCCATTACTGCCAATAGCACCTGGGAAATAAGGAATGACATACTGTAGCAGAGTATCTTTCAAGTGGCTCTTGAAGATAGCTCTCTGGCTATTGATGGAAATAGGATTTTCATGTGTGTGAGATAATTCAATAATTAATTAAATATGGATTTAGCATGTTTATGATGGAAATCTGTTTTATTTAAAATAATTTCATCAATGATATAATCCATTTAAAACCCAACACCTTTTTAAGAAGCCCATCCTGATGTGCGCAAGCCTACACATATAAGGACAGATTTCTCAACCTAGGCTATCTTTATGCATCTTGTTAATTTGCCATAGACCAAACTACCAGTAAAAAAAAATTCTTCTCCAAAGTAATAATTCTATTTTTATAATTCTATTTTTCCCCCAAATGCAGTATAGAACCTTATAGCAAGCTACTTAGAATGGCACTCCTCTTCCACCTTTTGATCTATCTGCTGTATCCCTTTGTATTGTTGGAAGTAGTGATTCCCCTGTCTTCTAGGAAAACATTAGAAGAAAGGAAGAGGTGAAAACACAAGCAGGGTCAGGTCCATCACCCCCCCACTCTTTGTCCAGTAGGGCTTTTACAATAGCTGGAGCCAGCTTACTTTTCACAACAAAGGAAGGAGAAAATTACAGGCATGAGATACAGAGAAAAAACCCTACAAACTAGCTAAGATCCTTTCCCATAGAAATCAAATGGATGGCAAGCTATAAAATTTGTGAAAAGCAAATCAAAAGGCATAACAGGAATCTCAGGATAGTGCAACCTAATGCAACAAACAGCTACTATAAAACAATTACCAAGATCCCAGGAAGAGATCCCAATATCAAAAGACAGGAACTCATCACACACACACAAATCAAAGACTTCAAAGTTTCACACTTACAAAATCAAAGGATCTGACGGGTATAAAAAAGGGTTTCCCTACTCACAAGATTACATTAATCCTAGGAATGCTGTGAGATTTCTTACCTGCCTTCCTATTAATAAACTGATTCTGACTTTCAAGGCAGCTGACCAAATCATTTTTCATTTCTCCCAGCCGGGAAATTTGAATCCACAAAAGGAAAGAACTTTGCCTATTACAAAGGGCAAGGGCTTCTTTTTCCTTTCCTCAATTGGCGACTCTGGTGGTTTCCCGGCCAACCTAGCCACCGGACGGGGTCCGGAGATCAAAACCCAGCCGGCATGGACCTTCTGTGTCCAGGGAGAGCATCCATGGACCCTGCCCGGGAGAGTCTCCTTGAGACTTGAACTCAACGGCTCAGATCTTGTTATTTGGACGAAAGACACACCAACATTCAGGGCAGTGATCTGAACCCTGAAATCAGTAACAGAGAGTCACAACCCATCCCGGGAAGACATGAATCAGTTACTGCATGTTTTCCTAACTCAGGATGAACTATTGAAATTATTTTGAGAAAACAGCACAAATAACCAACCAACCTATTAAAGGGCAAAAGCTAATCTAATGGAAGCCCTAGAGGAAATAGGAAAAAAGCCCCTCAACTGGTCAGAATTTCAAAAGACAACCCAAAAGGAAAATCCTGACACCTTTTGGGTTCGTCTCTCAGAGGCAGCTGTGATATATGCCCACCTAGACCCAAGCTGCCCAAAGGACCAGAATTTTAGCCTCAGCCTTTGTGGACCAGGCTACTAGTGATATCAGGGATCACTTCCATTGTATTGTAGCTAACTGGCCCACCTTGGAAATAGCAGAGTTGCGCAGAATCTCAAACTTTTGTCTATGACCAAAGGGATAAATTAAAAGAGGAATAAAAAGATATGAAAAGGAAGATAGAGAGACATGAAGAGCTAAGAATTTTGTTGCCATGCACCATAATGCCAGGCAAGTACAGTGAAGGACTGCTGCTTTCAGGCAGGGATGCTGGCAATGTAGGCAATGTAGGTACAAACATTGCTATAAATGTGGTAAAACAGGGCATTTTGGCCGATACTGTAAACAAACTTGGTTTCGCGGTCAGCCTCAAGATTTGCCCAGAGGCTCCATGCCAAGCAATAATCCATATCATAGAGGCCAGCAGAAATATAACCAACCTCGCGAGACACCTACAGCCCTTTTCCACATAACAACGAACACAGAGATAATGCTAGATCTCAATGGGGCCAGGGAAGGGAAGGGATGAGAAGCTTTCCCACTTGGAACTGAACCCAGAAGAATATTTCTTCCAACACTTTTAAAGAAGTGAATACCAAGAGATTGGGATGACTCCATTCCAAGATACTGAGGATCACAGGGTTAATTCTTCTACTTCATAGAGACTTTCTTCAACTGAAGCTGCATGAACACTTAATAAACTATGTTTGGGCTAGCTAATACAAGAAGCTCTACCATTTCTGGAATTTAACAAATATAAAGGAGAACCACAGTCATTTGTTTAATTGTTATCTTGAATGGGGAATTTTGGTGAGTATGGCAATATATCAAGGTACAAAAACAGAGCAAGTCCATAAGGCTTTTGCAGTTGTTGCAAACTTGTGTGTTGGAGGTTGAAACCAGGAACAAAAATCTGGTGCTGTTTTTTTTTAAAAGACATATTCCCTTTAGTATATTAAAGAACTGGATATATCCTATTCATTTCAATGTTCTTCCTGGCAAATATCTTATAATCTGTACAGAAGTTGTGTGCAATTTCCATTGCTATATTTATTTTGGCTGCTCCCTTTTTTATCCGTCTTAGCAGCTTTGAACTGATTATTGCAGAGGATTTAGTCCCATTGCTCTCTTAGTTTGAGTTTTTTCATTTGTTTTTCTCTTCTCCCTTATTTTCTGTTATTGGACTATATACCCCTGTATAAAATTAGACAAAGGGCCACAGATGGCTCCTGGTGTAATAAGCACTAGAAATCCAAATTATTAAATATATTCAGTGAATACAGTTAAATGGCTAAGACAGATAATAGATTTCTTCATGACTTTCAAAAGTGCAATAAATAAAATTAATAATTCTATATCTCAAAAGCTCATTAACAAAAACCAGAAAAGCACATTTTAGTCTATTGTATATACATATATTAAATGTAAGGCATTTTTATTTATAATATTTGACTGAATCACTTAGAATCAAATACTACTATTTAAAACTTATTCTCCAAAGCTTCAAGCCAAAATTGTTTTAGTTTGATTGATGGTTTTAAATGGACATGTTTGAGATTAAATCAGAGCTTTACTTATAAAAACTGTATGCTGCATAATTAAACTATTTCATATTTTTCTATTTAGGGCAGGGATGTCAAACTGGCTTTCTTTGAGGGCTGTATCAGCATTGTAGTTCTCCTGTGGGCAGTGGGGGGGAGAGACGGGACGGATGCCTCCTGCACCACTGTGCCAGCCAAAACGGGGCATGGGTCTCCCATGCCTCATTTTCAGCCTCCATGGCCTCCTGCAGCCTTCTTCTGACCAAAAATGGGCTGTGCGGTGGCCCCACAACTCCTCCATGAGGCCCATTTTTGTCTGGCAGAGCACTGCTGGAGGCCAGGGAGGCCAAAAATGGGCCTCACGGTGCCTCTGCGCAGCCTGTTTTTGGCCAGCAGAGTGCTGCAGGACGCCGTGGAGGCCGAAAACTGGGCTTGGGGGTGCTGAATGCACCCTCCCACAGGCCGGTCCTTTGATATTTCCAGGCCAGTCCTGCAGGCCAGATTTAACCCCACAGGCCGGATCCAGCCCACAGGCCTTGAGTTTGACAACCCTGATTTAGGGCATTTTTATAGAAAGTCTCAGAAAACATGTATAGATTCTTATTATAGTTTACTTGACCCTAGTTCCAAAATGTGACTATTGCATTGTGGAAAGGAAAAAGAAGCCTTGCCCTTTAAGGAAAGAGGCAAAACTTTTTCTTTTGTGAATTCAAATTTCCGGGCTGGGAGATTTTACTGCAAAATAATTGGTCAGCTGCATTGGAAAACAGAATCAGTTTATTAATAGGAAGGCAAGTAAGAAGAAGTCCTACAGTGTTTCTGGGATTAATCTAATAAGTGAGTAGGAAAACCCCTTTCTTATACTTCAGGTTGATTTTGTAAGAGTGAACTCCTGAAGTCTTTGATTTGTGTTTGTGTGATGAGTTCCTGTCTCTTGAGATTGGGATCTCTTCCTGGGATCTTGGTAGGAGTAATTGTTTTATAGTCCAATCTCTGTTTTTCCCTGATCCTTTGTAGCTATCAGTTTGCACCTGGTTGCAATACCCCAAGTTTTCTGTCATACCTTTTGGTAAATCTTTTCCTTCCTGCCATACTTTTTATGACTGTGTTTTGGTGAGTATTTCCTTTCATGTGTCTGAGGGTTTTTTTTTCCTTTTCCTTTGAGAGTTTGCTTTTGCAAATTTTATAGTTTGCCATCTATTTGATGTCTATGGGAAAGGATCTTAGCTAATTTGGAGGCTTTTTCTGTATCCCATGCAAAGTGAGGGCTCCTTGCGTTTTCACCTCTCCTTTCTTTTAGGGGAATGTTCCTCCCCCTTTTGATATTTTAAATTTTCTTTTTCTTTTCCTAGGAGAGCGGAGAATCCTAACTTCCAACAGCATTTAGATTCAAACAAGATTATAGATGGAGTTCCAACTCTGCTATTTTTCTTGCTCTAGGAGATTTCTAAGATAATAAATTATATGCCATATTTCTAGATCAGTGAGTTCTATGAACTACTGGCAGGTCGGTGGCTGGGAAAAATGGCAAAATTGCAGTAAATTATTGTTTCTCTCTTTCCATGAAATAATCTCATGTTTGTCTTGGAAGTTTATTTTTCTTATTGATAATAAGCAATGACATTCTAGCCCAAGGACTAGATTGTATTAACCAGGATTTTGATGGACTTGTGCTGTTAGGGATATTTTTCGAGAATGGTATTCAGGAATAGGCAAGTTTTCCTACTTAAAATAGACTAATTTTGAATGCAAGATATTTCAGCTTTCATTAGAAGATGTTCTGGTAACTTTGTTTAGATAAAGATGTTTTCTAGTAAACCAAGCTTTTAAAAATGGCTCTATTCATTTTTGTCCCAAATACAAAAGTACCTGAATTATTTGAGGGAAAAGGAAACATTTCATCCAATTCTCAGTGTCTGCCCGTTTTTTCAGACAACTCACAATCTCCTCAGTTTCTGTGCTGGTTCCTTAGCGATTGTACTAAATTGACTCTCAAAAGTGTTTACTTCGATATAATTATTGAAAATCGAACAACAGAATGTATTTTCTACTGTTTAGATTGGAAAAAACTCCAACTTAATATTTTATTTGCAATTTGCATCCATTCATTGTTACTACTAATGAATTCATGACATGGAATACAGTTGGGACTGGAATTTTGGTTGTAAGTCGAGGCAGTCACCTGACTGGACTTGATTTTATGATAATTCTTATGGCAATCATTAAGCAAAATCATATAGTTGTAAGTTTGAATCATGCAGTTATTAAATGAATCTTGAGGTCATAGGTGTGAAGCCATTCTCCCCAGTGGCCAGAAAAACATTGCAAATGGTCAGATGGCTGCGGAACACTGCAAACCAGTTGCAGTGGGAATTCAAGTGACTGTAACTGTTTTCCCTTTTCCTCACTCTCTTGCCTTTGGAATGCTTACCTGGCACTGGAATAATCACCAAGAAAGGAATTGCTTGTATTTACATACATTGGAGAGGAAGGGATTACAAGAGAGCAAGCAAGTACAGCAGCCTGGTTGCTCTCTTATAATTCTTTCCTCTCCAATCTGCTCTGGTGGAGGGGAGGGGAAAGTAGGATTAGCATAGAAGAAATTACCTAAATATTCCCTCCCTACTCTGAGGAGCAAAAAGAGGGCAAAAAAAAAAAAAAAGGTCAGTCACAGAACAGTGCATACTCACTATAATGACAATTATACCGTATGACTGAAAAAGCTACAAAGGTTATAAATGTATGCTTGGTGGCAAAGTTATTTTTCCAACACCATCATATCTTTGTATGCTTGCTGAACAAGTAAGCAGTCAGTAAGATCTCGCAGTAAGCAAAGTCCACCTGTATTGTCAAAGAGACTCATAATTGACAGTGCAATATGTTAAATAAATGCTCTGTAGGATACCAATGTCATCCATAATTTGTACTTCCAAAAATGGTTCTAGGTTTCATATAGGACTTGAGATCTTAAAATCAAAAACAATTGATGACTGTAATATAGAGCTTCTTTTGAGTTCTTCTACTAAAATTTATATTAGGAGAGGATAGATAACATTTGGGAATGCTGTTAGTGCTGATGAATAAACTTGCCAGCTTGTCTTCTGGTAAGTGAGTGCCTTTTATTCAGCACACCATTGTACCAAGTATTTTGTGAGAGTAATTAATTCTAAAGGTATTCCCAGTCCAAAAAGTTTTATAAACTGTACTATAATAGGATCCCTTTTGTTTTTAAAACTTCATTTTTTTAGTTGGGATAAAATACCAAGATGTTCATATGCTTATCTTTTTAAAGCATGTTTTCTTTTCTTTTGTAGGATCATGGATTTTCCAGGACACTTTGAGCAAATCTTCCAGCAGTTGAACTATCAACGGCTTCATGGTCAACTTTGTGATTGTGTCATTGTGGTTGGAAATAGGCACTTCAAAGCACATCGTTCTGTTTTGGCAGCATGCAGCACACACTTCCGAGCTCTCTTCACCGTGGCAGAAGGAGATCAGACTATGAATATGATCCAGTTAGACAGTGAAGTAGTGACAGCTGAAGCTTTTGCTGCTCTCATTGATATGATGTACACCTCTACACTCATGCTTGGAGAGAGCAATGTTATGGATGTGTTGCTAGCAGCTTCTCACCTCCATTTGAACTCTGTGGTAAAAGCATGCAAACACTATCTCACTACAAGGACATTACCCATGTCTCCACCAAGTGATAGAGTTCAAGAGCAGAATGCACGCATGCAGCGGTCTTTCATGCTTCAGCAGCTTGGGTTAAGTATAGTGAGCTCTGCTTTAAATTCTACCCAAAGCACAGAAGAGCAGACAAATTCTATGAGCTCGTCGGTCAGAAGCAACATTGAACAACGAAGTGCTTTTCCAATACGGCGTCTCCATAAACGTAAACAGTCTTCTGAAGAAAGGGCTAGACAACGCATTAGGCCTTCCATGGATGATTCTATCATGTCAGATGTTACTCCTGAAAGTGCACAGACTGTGGTTCATTCACGAGATGAATTTTTTTCCCCAGACTCCTTGAAAATTGTGGACAATTCCAAGACGGATGGTGTGAGTAACCAGGAAGATAATACCGTTATGTTTGATCAATCCTTTGGTGCCCAGGAAGATCCTCAAGTGCCCAGCCAATCTGACAACAGTGGGGGAACTATTTCTCAAATGTCTATGGCATCGCAGGCGACTCAAGTTGAAACTAGTTTTGATCAAGACACCACTTCTCAAAAAAACAATTTTCAGTGTGAGAATCCTGAGGTTGGACTAAGTGAAAAAGAACACATGAGAGTAGTGGTGAAATCTGAACCTTTGAGTTCTCCAGAGCCCCAGGATGAAGTGAGTGATGTCACATCCCAAGCAGAGGGAAGTGAATCGGTTGAAGTGGAAGGTGGAGGAGTAAATGCTGAAAAAATAGAACTGAGCCCTGAAAGCAGCGATCGTAGTTTTTCTGACCCACAGTCTAGTACCGATAGAGTGGGGGACATTCATATTATGGAGGTAGGAAATAACATAGAACACAAGTCCACTTTTAGTATTTCAAACTTTCTGAATAAGAGCCGAGCCACTAGTTTTGGTGCTAGCCAGAATCATGAGGACAACATTCCAAATACAACTAGTGACTGCAGAATGGATGGTGATGCCTCTTATTTAATTAGCCCTGAATCTGGGCCTGCTAATAGTCATTCTTCAGCTTCTGTTTCTCATGTAGAGAATCCTTTTAATGAGAGCACAGACTCGCATTTTGTCAGGCCTATGCAGGATGTCATGGGCCTGCCTTGTGTACAAACGTCTGGCTACCGTACAGCAGAGCAATTTGGGATGGACTTTCCAAGATCGGGCCTCGGATTGCATTCTTTGTCAAGGGCGGTAATGAGCTCAAGGGGGGGCGCCAACAGCTTTCCTGGGTATCGTCGCATAGCCCCCAAAATGCCTGTCGTGACTTCTGTTCGGAGCTCTCAAATGTCAGACAATGCTCCGAGTTCTCAATTGCTAATGAACGGGGCTACTTCCTCTTTTGAAAACGGGCATTCTTCTCAGCCTGGCCCACCACAGCTGACCAGAGCGTCGGCTGATGTTCTTTCAAAGTGTAAAAAGGCCTTATCTGAACACAATGTCCTGGTAGTAGAAGGTGCTCGCAAATATGCCTGCAAAATTTGCTGCAAGACTTTTCTGACCCTCACAGACTGCAAGAAGCACATTCGCGTGCATACTGGGGAGAAACCGTATGCTTGCTTAAAGTGTGGCAAGAGGTTCAGTCAGTCGAGCCATCTGTATAAACATTCCAAAACTACTTGTCTTCGTTGGCAGAGCAGCAATATACCCAGCACTTTGCTTTAATTCTTTTCCTCTGTCCCATGTTGCCAATAATTTTAGGAAAGCATGGAGTATAAGAGGCAAACACTTACAGTGTGATTCTGCCACACACCTTAAAAAAAAGGCTTGATTATTTTTAATACTTGTACCATACCTACCTCACAGGGGTGTTGTGAGGCTTAAACAACTTTTTAAAAGCGCTTTGAAATTATCCAGCTCTATCACAAACAAAAAAGATTGCAATCCTTGGGAGAAAGCCCCATTGAATGTTCTGGGGTTTATTTCCAAGTAAGCATGTTTAGGATTGGGCTGTACATATTACATAAGGATACAATACTTGGTATTGTTCTTTCTGATTGGATGGTCTGAAAGAATAAAGCCTACTTGTACAGCTAATGCATAATTAGCTAGTATTGTTATAAGATGAAGGGCAAACTTTTTAATGGCTTTTTTAATGATGTGAAAGCATTTATCTGTATAATAGGTCGCTTAGTGTGTGTGAACAACATAACAAAGAGCTCTTTATTGTGAAAGGTTACATATCTTGAAGATGAAACCATCTTTGCACCTCAAAGTGCTTTTAAAGTGTGTGATAGTTTAACATAGTTTTAGGGGTCTGAATGTATTTTTGATTGTTTTGCAGTAACATACACTGTGTAATGAAGGTGCTTACCTTGAATACAATGCAAGTACGTTTTAGACTGTCTGATATATGTGTGTGTGTGTATGTATATACACACACTTTTGAATACTGCAAAATTTAGGTGTTTCATAGTTTTCCTTTTGTAAAATCTTGTACTAGAAAGTGAAGTGTTTATGTATTATTCTTGATAGTGTTTCTAATCAATTTGTATTCAATGTGTTAAAATTCAACCTAAGTCTTAAGTCTACTGTTGTTATTTCAAATAATTTTCATTTCTTGGAAGTTCAAAGTAATCTGTTTAATCACATTCTTTGTGATTAGGATTCCTTTAAAAATCCTCGATCCTTCTAAAATATTTCTTCCCTTTATTACTCTATACAATACTTAAAGCCAAGTGGGTCTAAGAATATTGTGCTTGTATCTATGATATGGGACTTATTTTGCAGTGGCAACTGCTAAAAAAAATACCTTACTGAACTAAGGTTGGCATTTATCATGGCTGTTAGATTAACTCCCCATTTAAACAACAGTTTCTGTGTTTGAAGGTTAAGGACATTTTGGAATATTCCAGAGTTCTAAAAGACACCCAGCCTGCTTTCATGCTTAAGGTAGGACTAGAACTCAGGCTCTCCCCGGTTTCTAGCCTAGTGTTTTCAACCACAAGACCAAGGTGGTTAATTTTTTAATACTTTTATTATCCTACCATCAAATTATAATACATCTCTCTTCACCAATAATTTCTGCTACTAAATGTAGTGTTACTGGTAGCTGTATCTATAGTCTCTGGTTTTTAGGCTAGCTCTGTAATCTATAATGTAATCCATAATTTTAATGTGGCTGAGATTGTGGATATAGCTGTGAGGAAAAACAAGCAACTATAGAAAGTTAATTATAATCTTTACCCAGATTATATGAAAAAATTGAAACACTAATGGTTTTTTTTAATGTAAATTCTAAATTAGGGTTTTCTTTTTATGATTTTAGTGACATCTGGCAGCAATTTGCTAAACTGGTACTTGTCAATATTGGAAACAAAAATAGTGCAAGATAGGGGAGATACATAAATTTACCATCTCGGTGGCAGTCATTTCTGCTGACTGGGCTGCCAGCAATTTCGCAGTTCAAATCCCACCAGACTCAGGCAAAATGAGGACCCAGATTGTTGGGGGCAATAGGCCGACTCTAAAACCATTTAGAGAGGGCTGTAAAGTACTATAAGGTGGTATTTAAGACTTAAGTGCTATTGCTATTTGTTTATGTATTTACTGTATTGAAGAGTTAGTTGCTGATGGGAAGAATAAGACTATGATACCATCTAACCTTTAATGCAGAATGTAGATGTCTGCTAAAGTTATAGATATATTCAGTCTATTAAAATAATGTGCCTGCTTAAATGCACTTGTTGAAATAATTGACAAAAGAAATCTTTTAATTCTTAAGCTTGCTTTCTTACCTGTGCTGTTAATTGGACCCACTGTGGAGGCATATTGAAACCATAGTGCATAGCTATTCATCAGTTCTTGCAAGTTTTAGCATATTGCTTTTAAAGAATTATGACACAGAAAGACATGATTTATTATGTGTTCTATTTTATTTGAAAGGCAACAAGCTCAATCAGAATTGACTGGGGACAAAAAGTTAAATCCACCATGTTTAAAAACAATTTATACTAGCTTGAATAGACTAGCTTCTCATAGTCTAAGTTCACTTGGCATATTTTCTCCTTTCAAACCAGCCAAAAGATTGTTAGCAGCCAACACTGACATTGTATTCCTTGTTGAGTAAGTGGCACTTCCAATATGAGGCAAGATTACTGTTTAAGGCATGAAAGATAAAAAAAAAGTATCATTAACACATACTACATGTAAAGTGTAAAAACAACCCTTTGTTAAATTAGTGCATAAAAACAGTGCCTTTTAATTGCAATGTCAGCTTAGTCACAGCCTAAGTGTGCCAAACTAAGTGGAGTTACAGTGGTTCATTGTGAGAAAAGTATAGTGAGCGGAATGTCTTGTTTTTCTTTTCCTCTAGCAGCTCTGATACTTTGGGAAATACTAGGCTGATGCTCTAACTGTACAGAGGCATAGAAAATAGTGCTATAGATTAGGGATGTGGAATTATTTAACAGATCTTTTAGGAGGGTGAAAGTTCATTCTCCAAACTTCTGGGTTGGTTTCATATACAGGCTACGTAATATCTTCAGTGGAATTTAGGGGGAAAGTATTACTTGGCTGGTAACGAAACGTTCGGAAACCAACCCACAAGCTCGGAGAACGAACCTTCACCCTCATCCTACACCCGAACTACAGATATTTGCCACTATTGCAGATCTTCTATGTTTAAATTGATCAACTGATCAGATTTCTATCCCTTAAAATTGCAAAAATCTGCTCAACTATGTATCTTCTCCTCAAAACCACAGATCTCTTATCTGCAAGCTGATCAAAATGATCCATTATTGGTTGATGCCTGCCAGCCACCATCTCCGTATCAAAAAATGCCAAAGTAGCAATGCAAGTTAGATCATCTTACCACAATTTTTGAGAGAAAGAAGCGGATGGTCTGTCGGCAGAGGTTCTGGGGTTGTGACATCCAAACCAGCTGCAGCAATTTGCCCATTCACTAAAGCTTCATAAAGATCATCCTGATTGACTACTGTCCCCCTGGATAAAACAAAATAAGAGAGATGGGATTTATGTATACTTCTTTTTTATTCTATTGTCTGATTCTTGGAGACCTGACAAGTTCCTGTGGCTTTCTTGGCAAGGTTTTCAAGAGTAGTTCGACATTGCCTCTGTGATAGGGCTATGAGAAAGTGGCTGGCCCAAGGCCATCCAAATGACTGTGCCCAAAAGGGGACTAGAACTGTCTTCTAGTTTCTACTTTGATGCCTTAAGCACTACACCAAACGGGCTATCATGCTTGGAAATACAAGAAAATTCCTGATTTTGTCCCTTTGTGGATTTTGGCAATTCAGAAATAACACTATATGTTATTTTCCTTACTTGCAGAGCTCACAGGTGTAACAAACAATCTTGCACTTGGGGAAAAAAGTCCCAATATGTCACATGATACTGCTGTGACAATGTGAGTTGGACACCCCTGCCTTAAAACTTATTGCACATTCCCCCCCCCCCCCATCATATTGCCTTTTCATATTCGGAAAGTAGATTGATTTCTCTCTGAAGTGGCTGAGGGTTGAACGTAATGATCGTCATTTGATTATTTTCAAACATGGTGCTTGAATATAATGGATGCACAGAGAAAACTTTAGATCTGAATTATTTAAGCAACACATGATTCCAATAACACAGGAAGAAATAAAACTATGTGGAAATATATCACGGCAGTGGTAGTAACCTCCACAAAATTGGAACTCTATTCCAGGAAATAGGTACATTTCCCTCCCTTAACACAATGTCATGTCCACAACAGAAGCGGCAGCAGCAGCAGCTAATGCAAGGATGGAGAAATACTGAATGAAACATTGACTGAAATATCAATTTTCTTCAGCAATGGAAATTAATAATCAGCAAGACCTAATGCTGAATATCCCATGTAGCAATCACAGGGGCAGTAGGTTTGCTCTTTTAGGAATAACATTGTTTAAATAGTCGCATTATAGTGATGGATATTCAAGAGATACAGTATTTATCTACCTAGCTGTAGAATATCCTGTTGGGATGTTTACATACACAGGTTTTTTTTCTTTGATTTGCCCTTTTAGTGAGTCAGCCACCAAAAGCATTTGATGTCAACCAGTTGAAAAAGGCTGATCTATTTCCATATAGCTCAGTTTTCCTCAACTACCGTAGCTGAAAGTGGATTATTGGCCAGAGGCAACTTTCTCATGGCAGGTGCAAAATTGAGAAACAATGGGAGCTGTGTGCTATGAAGAATACAGGTGAATCTGGGTGAATTCAGTGATATAGAATAGGAAAGAATAAATAATGGGACAATATTTTTTTTCACCTGCTTGTATTGATGAATACTGATGTTTTCTTCATCTTATGAAAGAAGTCCCGATTGCACATCCCTTGGGTTTCAGGCACCAAAGAACAAGTTACAATGACAAAGTCCGACTCCTCTGCTAGCTTATCAAGGGATACTTGTAAAACAGAACAAAATATTGCCATCAATTATTAAGAGACTAGATTGCTTTTGCTGGCCTTCAGTCACCAGTTTTTCCAATAGGTCAGTTAGCAAGGAAACTTGCCAATGAGTCATTTGTGTGGGTGTAGGGTGATGTCATATTTAAGCCTAAACTATTTTCTTTTTAATACTTTTTCTTTTTTTACACTTCACTGGTAAAATCAAGTTAGAGCATTGTTAAGCAGAGTGTTTCTTCTACTAGTTTTTAGCCAGTGATGTGAAGAAATATTGCATCTCTATTACATTTGCCAACAACCACAGGAATAAACAAGGGAAAATAATGATCCTGATATTTAAAAATAATCCAATTAATGCTTACTTTTGAATGATTTAGCAGGTCAGTTTTAAGTTGCTGTAAATCAAAAATCTAAACATCATCTAATTTATGCTGCACTTTGATAATTTATCAATCTCCTAATCTTCCATCATCCAATATAATATTTTTTCATCAATGATCCTGGTTTGTTCTGCCAACCTAGAGCCATGTGGGATGTTCTTTAAACAAAGATCAAAGTAAATTCTTACTTTCCTCCTATTTATATTTCAAATTATTTAAGGCTGGCATCTATATTCCTCATCCTCTTTAAGGAAAGGCCTGCACACCTTTTACAATTCCCATCATAAATACAAAGATTAAAATTTAGTTATATCTTTCTAAAAGTATAATCAAGTATTCCAAGAATTACTTCATGTAAATCTTGTTTAATCTCATGTTTCATTAAAGTTGTTTTCTATTTAAAT